TGTGTGTGTGTGTGTGTGTGTGTGTGTGTGTGTGTGTGTGTGTGTGTGTGTGTGTTTATTTGAATGATGATAACCAACGCAAAACGACCCTCGGTTTCCATTTGTTGCTTTGGCCGTTCAGGTGCTGGAGCTGCAACCGACATGCATTGCAGCGTTGGAAAAACGTGCAATATTGTACGAAACGATGGAGAAATACAAGCTTGGAATAGAAGACCTGGAGAAGATTCTACGCTTCAATCCCAATAACAAGGAGGCAACACAACGGCTCTGTAGATTGAGGAATGCACTGCGAATTCTCATGGGTTAGGTTAACGTCCCAATTTCAAGTGCAGGGTATGCGGTTTCTCAGGGGTTAGGCTAATCTGCCAATTAAAAAAAAAAGACTTGTGATCGTTATGGTATTTGAAGTTTGAGCCGTGTGTGCACAGACGCAGGTGTCTTCACAAGAGCCACAGCCAAGATGGATCATTGTACGACTTTTTTGAAGTTTTTTTTTTTCTTTTCTTAATTTGAGCGCTGCGCGGTAGTTCGGTTCATGTACGGGCCACCACATAGCGTTCTCACGCTGGTGGTTTGTTTATGGGCAAAGCCTTCTTTTTTTTTTTTTTTTTTTAATGGGCAAAGCCTTGATGTCCGCATCATGTGGGTCTTTCCACAGGGAAGGGTGTGCGCAATGTTCCAATGCGCTGTAGGTTTCGCACCGGCATGCTCAGGAAAAGGCATGACCGAGTGTGTCCTGAGTCTGCTGACGCACTTCACGTTGAAGGGTGTTACAATGACTAGTGGATTCTATCGGCCTGAAATTAAATGTTCGAAAAATAAGTGTGCGATCGCTGACGAGTCTGTGACGACCGAACCACCCCATCCAACGGGGGTCTCGTACATGGACAAAGGCGTGATGTTGACAGTACCATACCATAATCTCTCTCTCTCTCTCTCTCTCTCTCTCTCTCTCTCTCTCTCTCTCTCTCTCTCTCTCTCTCTCTCTCTCTCTCCCTCTCTGTGTGTGTGTCTGCATGTCGGCAGAGACGTGACTCAGAACCACTTTGGTGCTGTGAGAACGGACTCCCTTTGCTGCTGTGAGAACTAAGTTTTTCAGACTTCCAGGCTTTCACTGGAGCTCTGTGGAATGTAGATGTGACACCTCGTCAAATCCTGGGACGCCACACATTCAGCAGGGTTTGGAGCCGTGCTGCTTGCATCGCCTCAACACTAAAGTGCAGAAAATTAGGAGGAGAGTTGATCAATAGAAATAGTCGCAGGTCCATGTGGCGAATCACATTTGGTAGGTCTACCGAATGGCAATCATGGGGCAACTTCCAGTCTAGATACAGTGGTAAAAGACCGGGCGTTTTATTCGGGTGAAGACGGTAGTGTTATTGGGTGCTGTCGATATGTTGTTGCTTCTACTGCTGCTGTTGCGAGAGCTGCGGATGTTGTCGTGGTTGTTGTTGTTGCTGCTGCTGTTGCTATGATCCTTGCCTTCATTGTCACCTTCTCTTCTTCCTGACCTTCGTTCATCATCATCATCATCATCACCGTTGTCGTTATTGTTATCTTCTTCTCTATCTCCTACTCCTCTGGCACATGTTTTTTTTTTTGTTTTTTTTTTTGGGGGGGGGGTGTGAAAACATCCTGTGAAATCCTGCTGTTCCTTGGTGATAAGAGCACCAAAGAGATGCCTGTCATTGTTGCCGTTATCGTTTACAGTTTATGAACTCTAGGACGGAGACTCGGCTCTTGAGACTGAGGGCGCCGGTTCGAATCTGTGTGTGCATGGAAGAGGTCCTGTGGCTGATAAAGTGCCGAGACAGTCTGCCGTCATTGCAGTGTAGGGTTGGCACTGTAAGTATGGCCTCTGCGTTCATCTGAAAGGGAAAGCAAGGTTAAGCGCAAGTAATCGGCACTGTGATTTATAGCAGAATAACTGGTTAGGA